TTTGAATAAAGCTGGAAATTATGTCCCTCAAAACAATTAGCCACCAATGTTTTTGTAAGATATTTACATCTATCAAGGACATTCGGTAGACTGCTTTCCCACTGTTGTATTAACCCAAAAACTTGTTTGTATTCAAAATAAATTATGACAATCATGAATGCATATTCATATTGAAACAAACTATGATAAAGGAAATAATATTATACAACAAAGGGCAAGGTCACCAGAGTTCAACTATGTTTTTTTATACTTCAGCTTGCATACCATATTTGATTCAGAGACACCCCCCCCCACCGGGGGGGGGGGCGTTGACATCGCGCGTTGACGCTAAAATAGGCTGTTCTGCCGATATTATTGGACGCAGAGTTGTTATTGGTGGTTAGTATGTCTTCAAATAGAAATACAGTTACAGGGCGCTTATCTGTAAGTCCACTTTGTATTCAATTTTATTATAAAGAGATGTCAGCAGATAATCGGAGTATGGACACATAATTGCACAATGTAAACATGTGGTGAGGTCAGTGAACTGGCGGTCAGAAGACACTAGCATGTATTTTCAATTTGTTAAAATGTGCTATACAGGTAGCGTGGTGTTATGTAATATGTATCACGTATTCGTTTAGGCAATGCAGTAAGAGGTTTATATAACCAGAAAATAACAAATCCCCAAGTGTTCCAAAATTTCATAATTTTATAAAAAATGGGCGATTTTATTTAACTCTTTTTAGCTCCGCGGTCGATTAGTCGAGCGGAGCTTATCATATGAGTGATTGTCCGTCGTCGTCCGTCGTCCGTGTCAATCATGACAATGTTGAACTTTTTCGACTTCTGCTTAAAAACTACAATCCTGAATGCTTTGATACGTGGGTAGACCTCTCTTAGATTTGTTAATTTCATGATCATATCTTCAATTCTCTAATTTTGGTGAATATTTCTGTCATTTTTAATGAAAAAGTGGTATTTTCGACTTCTTGTAAAAAGCCTCAAGTCCAATTGCATAGATATTACATATATAGGTACTGCATGTGTTCCTCAGATTTGTTCATTTCATGATATCTTCAATTCTTTAATTTTAAGGATTATTTTTGTAATTTTTGGTGAAAAGTGTTACTTTTGAATTCTTGTTGAAAACAGCAAGGCCGATTGCTTTGATACTATACATATTGTTCATTTTCTAATGATATCTTCTGTTCTTTAATTGCAATGTACATTGCTAGCGGAGCTATCTCAGCCGACAGGCTGCTTGTATTTTATATTTATAGTGACAAAATTGTAAACCTCGAGTAACGCTCGCGTGCAAAATTAAGTTCTAGGCCCTATATAAAATACACACTAAACACCTGACCTACTAGCGCCACATTGTATTGCATTATTTCGTATCTTTAAATTTCAGAAATTGCCCAATAGAATATGCAAATCAACAGCGTGATGACCGCTTGAATGTAGTGAACATGGCCACAAACTGGGTTAGTATGTCACACATTTTGCGCAACAACCGAAGGCGAATAATAGGCACTTTCCGATTGGTTCGATGATAACCGGCGTCATATTATGGTTTCGACTGCAAAGTAGACTAAACATGAATCACATTTGTGAAATGTGGAGAGAAAGAGCAAAGCTATACGAGTATATAATCCATGAGAATGATTTTCGGGCACCAAAGCCCAAACACACTGTAAATCTGAGGCGTTAAAAGCTCACACATATCGACGAATCAGCGACATTGTTATACATATTGAAAGTGATGCAATCTTTTTCCTTGTGGCACATTCTATTTTAGTGTAGGGGAACGTGTGCAACTTTGACAGCCTTTTGCCTGGCTAATTTGCAGTAAAAAGAATATCGTAATATTTCTAGCAGTATATTTTAGTATTATATAACATATATATCACTATTCAATTTTATTAGAAATATTTCATTTTTGGTGAAATTATATACAATTCCATCTACCCCATAAATGAGCACTAATGTCAATGTCCCATTGAACATCAACATACAATGGACCCCTGAACCAGCTGAACGATGTAAACAAGTCTTACTGTGCGATATGTACCTGGGTTGTACAGCGTTTGGGTGAACGCGAATAACAATCGTGGTGCTTACTGATTTGTTTCCGACGTCTCCGGTAAGAAACATATTCTTTCATAGAGTCGAAAATTTCTGTTGAATGCGACATTTAGTTTACACGACATGGGAACGTTTGCCTGCATGTCATGGCACGTGATACAGTTTTCCCCAAGTTTTCCAGACGTCAACTCTGGGCTGTCTCTGCAAAGACAATATACAATGTATTTTCTAATGGTTTCTGGACATATAAATTTATGACTGAAAATGGAAAGTACGGAATTTGATAAATTACCGTAAATAATGTCTTTATTTTGTGATACTCATCGCGGCTGACTTTTAGCCACAGTCACTTGGGG